TGTGTGTGTGTGTGTGTGTGTGTTATCTCTGCTGAGGCGGAGGCAGGGGGCCTTGGGGCGACTGTGTGCAGGAGATAAGGGTGATTCATCCGTGTATAAACGTGTGTGTGTGAAAGCATGTTTGTGCATCAGAAAGTGTGTGTGTCCATGGTTTAGAAGAAAAATAATAAATGCTCATGTTGTTTTACAATATATACCACAGCCAGTGTCATGTCTCACAATAGAGAACATCAGCAGGAGAGGACTCTTTAAAGTAGAGACACTACATACTGATATACACCTGAACATCAGCAGGAGAGGACTCTTTAAAGTAGAGACACTACATACTGATATACACCTGAACATCAGCAGGAGAGGACTCTTTACAACAACCTCTCGATTACCCTTATCCATACACCTCTCATCTCACAGGAATTTTAGTTTAGTCCATATATGTGAGGCCCTGCAGCTTTTTCGATGTTCTTTCTAGTATCTGAATTGTATGTTTAGTGGAAGGCTACTCTTTCCGACGGACAATTTTTTTGTTCAAGATCTCCTTTCTTGCTTTAAGTGTTCCATGCGTCACCTTTAAAAAAAAAAAAAAAACCTCTCCCAGCTCTGAGAGACGAAATGGACGTCTGCATGCGGGGCTGTCTCTGAGCTTTTTAAGAGATTCAGTCCAGCTGTTTGTCTTTTCAGGCAATTTAGCAGGAGAAATGTGTTTTATTGTAAGGCCTCAGCTGGTACATATGGTGCACATCAGGCACCTCTCCATCACTGTGCCCACATCTGATAGTTAGTGATTGTCATAGTACAGTAACCAGAGTAACACCAGAACAGTGACAGCTCCAATCTGCATGTCATATTTAAGATAAAATGTGCAACATGAAAACCAGGCACTCTTTAGGTTATTCTGAAAGATCCACTCTGCCATAAAATCACCATCAGGGAACAAAGGCTACAACCAGATACCAAGATGTTGAACTACCCTGAGGTACAATCTAGTTTGGTTGAATAAAGCTTCTTAGATAAACATCAAATTGACATGTTTGTGGTACAGAATTATCAGAAAATATCATACAATGCCAGAAAAAATATTGTACACACCCGGGTTTATTATGACTTCCTCATAGGTCATACATAAACCAAAACAATTCAATACCCCACTATTCTTTTCCTGCACTTTTTAAAGACCATTACATATTTAAAAAAAGTAGTTTCTCAGTTTAGGAACAACCTACTCAAAACTCAATGAAAATAACGGGTCTTTCTTTTAAATGTCAGGGCAGAATCAAATAATACAGTAGAGAGGCAAAGGTGGAATGAAACCCTCAAAAAATAATTACTTTTTTTGTATTACTTGAAATTGTTTGTAGTATTAAGAGTTATCTACCCAAACAATGGCAAGACAATTTAACTACTTTAATCATTATGCTGATCATCATCATTAGCAGTCGTGGTCTTGAAATGAAGTCCTCTTGGTTTGAAACAAGGCTGAGGAAACGTGGCCTACACAGAGTTCTTTAAAATGGGTTACTTCATCACTGGCATAGCGAATAGCACATCTTGTTTCTACGGGTGAAAAGTGATCTCTTAAGTCCTTCAAGTTTGCCTGATTGCTCCGACACCTTCTTGCGGTTGCTGTGCACATTAGCCATTACCTGAAAGAGGGCACCTTCACGCCTGGCATTGAAATAAGGTCTGCATAAGCAATCTGTTTCCTACTGGCTCCACATCTGGACCCTTGGGATTTCATAACCCTGAGTTTGTAATTTCATAAATATAGAAGTGTGTCCCAGAAACAGCACTGGGTGGTAGGTAGGACATCTCAACAGACCCAGATGACTTTCATTTATTTGATCAGTGTCTTCGTAACACAAAATATAATCAGCCTGGATTTGTTTTCATGTTTGAGGTGCAATAATCGACACAGCAGCTTTTTGGCATAATAAAACTATTATTTTCTGCCTCGCTCATGAGAGTAACAGCTGGGGAAATTACAGCCTCGCCTACTGATTTCAATTTAACCATATATCGAGCCCGGTTCTCGATTTCAAATGTGTGCTCTAAAATGATATTTATAAATGACCATTATCATTATTATAAGCAAGACAATAAATGGCAAAGATATGTAGACAATAAACGTATTCAAGATACGTTCATAACAATCGTAACGTGGGAGAAAATACGTTTCTAGCTAAACGTAATTGAGAATGCAGTTTAGTTCTGTGGGAACGTCATTTTTAGGAGACAGGGTTGTACCACAAGAATAGTAATTCTCCCATAATAACACCTAACAAATATGGTCTATTCTTATGAAACAAGAAATGAAAGTGTTAATTGTGTCAAAATAACGACACATTTTGTATTTCTAACTCAGAATATGTTCCCTGTTTTAAAGTGAAGCCTCGTTCATAACAAATAAGCTAGTAGTTTGTCTCTAATATTTAAATGAACAACTAGTTGATGGTGAATAAGTCTACCTTAATATAAAGTGTTACCTACGTTTTTAACTAGATGTTTCTAGTTATAGTCATTGTCTCTATTCTCTACACTTCTGTTCCCTCTCTGTTTCTCACTTGATCACTGTAGGTTGGTAGGTAGGACATCTCAATAGACCCAGATGACTTTCATTTATTTTATCTGCGCTCTGTCACAGGTGTCTTTGTAACAAAAGATCAGCCATTTTGCAGGATGATTGACAGATGTGCTTTCCTTTCAGAGCATTTGCCGAAACTGCAGCCGAGGCCTTATTCAGCAGCCAGGTAAGAGACAGAAAAACAGGAGTGGATATCAAATATGCTCACATGTGCTCCTATAGCATAACTGAGCTGGAAGTGTAATAATAAGTTTATACGAGAACTTTTTCTACGTGTTTGTGGAGAATTCCTTATTTCTGCTACTGCAAATAAGTACAAATACATGTTTTTACTCGTATATTAACATTTTAATCCATCTATCTATCTATCTATCTATCTGTCTGTCTGTCTGTCTGTCTGTCTGTCTGTCTGTCTGTCTGTCTGTCTCTCTCTCTCTCTCCCTATCTACCTA